AGAGCATGGCACTAAGGCTTGGCTGGTTTAGTGTCCAGATCTGGGATGAGAAAAGCAGCTGCACTGTGGGCAGGCCATCCTTCCCAACTAGGTCTCCTCTCGGGAGAGGAGACGCCCATGGGCCGGGCCCTGGGATGCCAGAGCCACCAGAGCCATCAGCACCCCAGAAACACAGGGTGGCACTACAGAGGATGAGTCTGCATTTAAACCTCAAGCCAGAGCACAGACATTCAAATGAGCATTGCTGTATGAGGCAGACCCCTCGGGAATGCACCTGCCTGTTTCAAACGTGCTTTGGTATTTCCAGAACTCCTCTTTGGGAACTGCCTTTGGGGCCCTTGTGAGCCCACGTCAGCTGTCCTCCTAACCCGTCACCCTGCTTTTCACCAGAAGTGGTGGTATCCTAGAGGGTCACACCACACCCACCTGACCCTCCAGACCTGGCCTGGAGTGACTTTGGGCTGTTTCCACATATTGAGTCTCTTTGAAGGAAAGGACACAGCCCACGGAAGGGACTAACAAGAGCGCACCGAGGCTGGGAAGCTGGCTTCCAGAAAGTGAGTCTAAAGGGGTTTGCAGCCACCTGGAGGGGTCAGCATTGGGTTGTCTGTGTAAGCGCTGGGATTGCTGGGAAGCAGTTTGTTAGAAACGAGGCTGGTGGGACTCCCTGCCGTTTCTGGGTGACTGAGAAGAGAGGAGGCTGCTACTTAGTGAGCCGGCTCCTGGGTTGCTCAAGGCGCCAGGGAGCGTGTGTGGGGGGTGGCAAGCCCAGTCTTTCTCTCACGGAGGCTCAGGGACTGCTTATCAGGGCTCATGTCCTGGGCCACAAGGCCGAGCGCTGGCTCAGTGTGAACCTGGCGCTTGGTGTTCCTAAGTCCTGGCTTGTGACCTTGGCCTGCTCGCCTTCTGTAGGCCTTAGTATTTTTGTAGGTGCCAAGGGATGTATGAATTCACCTCTGCCAGCTTTTCCAGGCATGGTGAGGGGAGCATCTGTTCCTGCTCACGGAGGAGCTTTGGGTATTTCTCACCGTCGTCACTCAGGAAGAACCCAGCATAAGTACCAGGCTCCAGGCTGAGCGTTTCACCCATGTCATCTCCTCGCCACAAGCCCATGAGGTAGTGCTAGTACGTCTCCATGATGCAGAGGAGGAGAGAGCAAGTGACTTGTGCAAGCCGAGAGGCGAAGAAGGGGCAGACACGACACGGGCCAGACGCAGCCCTGATGTGAACTTGGCTGCAGCGGCCATCTGCTCTCAACACCAGCTTCTGTTATTCTCAGGCCCACCCAAAACACTCTGGGGAAAGGCCTAACCTAGAATCACAGCCCCAAGACAGAGGTGAGCCTCCTGAGTTCTACAGAACGTAGGAAAGTATCCTGCTACCGTCACATCCTGTTAGAGTGGCCTCCAGAGGATCCTGCCACCTCCAGGACTGGGCCTGATGCCCTGAGATCTGCAGCAGGGTTTCTTGACCTCTTTGTAACCCCCAATGGGAACTGTCATCCCACACACATTCCGACAGGTGACAGGCCTCACTCGACCCTTGGTTGAGAATTACTGTGAACAGAAGACGGCCTTTCACTGGAATATTCCCATTGGCCAGAAGGATTTTTCTCAAACTTTACTTCCAGAAGTTTGTTTCAAAAATTTTTTAAATTTCTAATCTTGTGGCTAATAAAAAAGAAAAAAAGATTTTTTTTTAGAGATAGAATCTCATGGCCGGGCGCGGTGGCTCAAGCCTGTAATCTCAGCACTTTGGGAGGCCGAGGCGGGTGGATCACAAGGTCAAGAGATCGAGACCATCCTGGTCAACATGGTGAAACCCCGTCTCTACTAAAAACACAAAAAAGTAGCTGGGCATGGTGGTGCGTGCCTGTAATCCCAGCTACTCAGGAGGCTGAGGCAGGAGAATTGCTTGAACCCAGGAGGCGGAGGTTGCGGTGAGCCGAGATCGCGCCATTGCACTCCAGCCTGGGTAACAAGAGCAGAACTCCGTCTCAAAAAAAAAAAAAAAAAAAGAATCTCACTCAGTCACCCAAGCTGAAGTGCAGTGGCGTGATCATAGCTCACTGCAGCCTTGAACTTCTGGCCTCAATGCACCCTCCCACCTCAGTCACTTGAGTAGTTAGGACTGGAGGAGCATACCATCGTGCCCAACTGGGAAATTATACTATTCCTTTTTTCAAAAAGTATCTATTATGCACCCACTCTAGTCCAGGCTCTGGGGACTATGATAAACAAGAGAAAATCCTCACAGATGTTGCTCTAAGCCAAGCTTCTGCAGCCAGAAGAGATGGGAATGCAGGGTCTATGGGGCTCCTGACAGGGTCTGACCTTCCCCTTGGCCCAAATTTCAGTCCCTCTGGCATTCCCAACAGGAGGCTGCTCCACGCTGCTAGAACTCATTCAGTGATGAAAAGCTTCCCCTGCGGCCCCGGACTTCTGTCCCCTCTGTCCCCTCAACGGTTCTTGTGTGGAGCTGAACTCTGTCTCACTTCAGCCTCCACTGGGGTCCGAGTCTGCCATCTGCTCCTCTTCACATGACTTGAGCGACCCTGCTCCCTATCCTGGCCCCCAAAATACATGGGGGAAGAAATGTGTCATCTGCTTTTCTGCTCGGTTGTCACCCGCAGGGGAGGAGGGTCCTAGACCCAGATTGTGGCGCTCCCATGGATGCCTGCAAGCTTCAGAGAACCTGCCCAGGGCCACTGTGCAGAAGTGCGGAGAGGCCCCGGGGGGGAGAGACTGGGACCCTGAAGCTCTGCTGTCCCACTTGAGGGACCCAGAGAGATGCAGCATGCACCAGGCAGAGAGCACGACATGTAACCTGCCAAAATGCTTGGGCTCCCTGCCTTTGTCACTATTCCCATGCCACAGGCCCAGTGAATCCCCAGGGGAGAGATAATGGGCTGCTGTTTAAAAGAATACAATAATATAGCTCGTTCAGTCTCTTGTATCAACACTCCAGCTGAATGAGAGGCTGAAGAGCAGGCCAGCCAGCCAAGGAAGGTCAATATTGACTCCGGCCCCACTCCTGAGCCCAGCTCCAGCCCGCACCAACAGTGCTGCAGTCCAGCAGCAGCTCAGGCCAGACTAGCCTCTGACCTCTGGTCACTGAACCTCGAATCCCAACCTTTGTCTCTCTCCTCCTGGTACATAGCGCTGGGCTTTCCTGGGCATGTGGTTATTTCTAAGGGAAGACCTGAAGAATGGCTTCCTGGGAGGGCTGCAAGCCAGGGACCCTCTCACCACCTCAGATTCTCAACAGCCTCTGCACACAGAGGTCTGGGCCCTCAGCATAGGGACCTCATTGCCTAGCTAGAAGGAGCCTCTGTCATCCCTAATCACAGGACTACCTCTTTTCTATAGCTCTTAACTTTCCAGACCCCTATTTCACCTCCTTACTTTACATTCACAACACCACTGTGAGGTGAGCTGAACCTGCTTTGCTGGGCCCATTTTAGACAGCAGGGAGCTAGAGAGAGGAGGAGGAGACAAGAGAAAAGGGTATGCTTATAAAGTGCCTAACACATGGACATACTGTGCTAGGTGCTTTTTATTAGGTCATCTAATGGCTAATTGTAGCTATGGCCAGCTCCATTTTACAGATGAAGAAACTGAGGCTCAGAGAGAAGTAATTGTCCAAGATCGTAAGTGTGGAGCTGGGATTCAAAGCCAAATCTCTCTGACTCCAAACTCCAAGCTCATCCACAATGCCCAGTGCCCAGAGAAGTCAAATGACCTGCCCTGGATCACACAGCTATGCAGAACAGAGATGGGACTGGAAGCTTAAGTCAGAAACTCCCTCTGTGCCAGGCAACACCAGCAGTTCCACGGTCACCCATGAACACATAAACTTGTGTGACATGTGCAGGGGGCACTGCTGTTTCTGATGCCCAAGCCAGATCCTATTCCAGAAATGGCCCCTTCCCTGGGTTACCACGAGGTCCAGAGACCCTGAATTAGGGTCTCTCACTCTTTGCCCTCCAAGGTCTCTTACCTTTACTTTACTCCCATAGCTTTGCTATTACTAATACCCTCTGACAATAGCTTGCCAAACAGCCAGACTGCCCTCAAAGTTGTCCAGGATGGGAGACCTTGTAGTGGTTTAGTCCTTCCCAACACAGCAGCTGGAGGCTGACGGGGCAGCCCACTGCCAGAGTTACTCCCCACAACCGCCTTAGGAGGAAGGCAGTCGCATTCCCATTCTACAGATGAGGCCATTTAAAAGTGTGTAGAGAAGTGATAAGGAGTCAAAGGCAAAGTCTGACGGATTCAAAGCCCACTCTTCCGGTTCCAAATGTGTCCTCAGCCACTGTTCTATATCCTGTGGAGGAGAATTCATGGCATTGCCGGCTGACCATTACCTTGCATGGAATCAGGCGGTTTTTCCACCCAGTGTGGCAACCTATGCCCCCCTCATCCAGAAAAACATCAGAAACACCCCCCAAACCCACCAGAATAGGGTAAGATAGAGAAAACGCGGCCTACACCGGGGAGCTCTTCATGGCTTAGCCTCTGGCGCTCCTGGCAGCACCTACACCCCAGATAAGATGCCACTTCGGCAGGTCTGGAGAGGTGGCGAATGAGCGGCAGTTTTACCTGTGACTCCTGCGGGAGAACTGGGCCTGCCCCCACCCTTCCTGTTTGGGAACCTCTTTCCCAGCATGAATTCCCTGCACTCTGCCTCAGCGACACCCTTACCCAAGACAGGCATCAAACCTGATGGCAATCAGACCTCTGAAGACCGGCCCGGGGGCAGGGCAGGCCATTTGAGTTCTCGCTGTCTCCCAGCCTACCGTGGGGCCATGGGGCGAAACGGTGGAAATGACTTAACATGCACCCACTAAGGATCGAGAGACAGCACTCAGAAAGGGGACCACCTCCGCCGCCTAGCAGTACCAGGAAGGAGCCAGCCCCGGAGGGCCACCTGCCTGCCCACTGTCCCTCCCTGCCTGCTCTTCGAAATGGGTGCAGAAGGCTCTAGGGCCGCTCACTCACCTACTGGTGCCTTCCGCCTCTGCCTCGCGACTCCTCACCCCTCAGTGGACTGCTCTCTGAGGCGCGGAGGAGAGGGAAGACCTGGGACCTTCCTGGGCCAGTCCTCCGCAGGCCTGCGCAGAAACAGATCAGAAATGCATTATGGCAAATGTAGCAAGTGTCCCCGCGGGTGTTGCGACTGGCCGGCGTCCAGGCGTTGGGAACCGCCCCGCGCCCGCCTCCCGACTGAACTCCTGGCTCAGGTGCAAGTGGCGGCAGGCTCACCGCGGGGCTCCCGGGGAGAAGGGGACGCTGGGCGCAGCACCGCTTCCGGGGCGGCCCCTCTCCAGCCGCACTCCGACCCGGCGCGGCCACCCGGCCCCCGCTCACAGGTCCCACTGCTGCGCCCTCTCGGGGACGCGAATTCCCCGCGCCGGGCGGGCGCCCGCGGAGGGAGGTCCCGCTTTAGGGGCGCGGAGCTCCAGGTGCCTGCGCGCAAGGCCCCTCGCCTGGCACCGGCTGGTCCCGAACTTCGGGGAATGCACCTCCGGGAAGGGGGCCCGCGCGTGTTTGGAGGTCCGTCCCCTCGCCGCCACCCTCCAGGGCGGCAAGGGCACCCACCTGCGGAGCGGGAAGCCCAAGAACGCTCGAAAAGGCCGTGGGAGCCGGGCCCGCCCTCCGCGGGAGGAACCTCGGCGCGAGAACGCCGAGGAGGGGCCGCGCTTACACATTTGTGCGGCGTCGGCTTCACCTGGCCGCGATTTTGATTTCAGGGTGTGGCCTCAGCTAGGACGCGGCTGCGAACACAGAGCCCGGGAGAAGTTTGCCGACGGTCGCTCTGCCAGAGGGGCGCCCCGCTGCCCAACTCTTTTTTCCTCCATCCGCCTGGCCCCAGCTCCCGCCCGCCCTTCGCCTCCGGGCCCTGGCCTGGCCACAGCCGCGGGGACTTGCCTGCGGCTCCACGGCCAGGTGGCTGCCGCACAGAGACCTGACCTGGAGAACCAGCTGAGCGCCGGCTGTGTGTAATCCACTAGTTCACTTTCAAAGCAGATGCATGCTCCGGAGCCGCGGGCGGACTCTCCCGGACCTGAGCCGGGCCGCCTGCGTCCACCCACACATCCTGGAGCGCCCAAGCGGGAGTCCGACACCCTGGCACTTTGGATGGTCTGTCCCATGTGGACAGGGCCCCAAGACTGTGCTGGGGTAGCCCCTTGTGCAGGCAGGAAAGCGGGATTTAAGAGATTGCAGTTCCCTTGTCAGACCTTGCGCAGTCTTGAGGACCTTCTAGTCTGAGTCCTAGGGCAGAAGACCCGCGCGGACAGAGAGCTTCCGGGAGCACCCTGCCCCTAGAGAGGCTGGGGACTGTTCCGGAGCCCTCTGCCTGCTTGTCCTCAGTGGTCCCCTCCTACAGAATGGCCATTCCAAGGGACTCACTCCTGGATACCGTGTACCATGTTTCTTTTGGGGTACAGGGTTTTTTCTATATTGAGGGAGGGGGCAGGGGTCACCCCAGAGAGGCTGCTTGCTGGTTGAGTGCTGAGGAGGTTCTGGCTTGGAAACGCAGTACATTTGTACTCCAAATGGCTGCCCTCAAGTGGTGGCTGGGTGACTGCCAGTGTCACAGAGCAGGGACCAAGGACAGTGCAGGGACTTTAAAAATCACTGAGAGGCACCTCCGACTTCAATGATTAACTGAGGTCACTATGGCCACCAATTTTTGTTCACGGATTCTTTAGACATATCGGTGCTACTTATGGCTCAGTCCTTTGCAGTACAGGCTCTATTGGTTACACACAGTTTAAGGCATCCACCAAATAGTGCTCAGGCAACCTGTGGGAACCGCCAGCCCCAGACAGGTCTGTACCCTGTGTGGCTGCACCACAAGCCCAATACCCTCAGAGTTCCTAGGGAAACCACTGTCCCATAGCACACAGGTGCCAGGTGCAGATGCTGGCCCTGTGTGCTATGGGACAGTGGTGTGGGAGGCGGTCAGCTAACCATAGGTCCTCACTGCCGTCCCCAACATCCCCAACACATACTTATTTTTAGTCTCTGTTCTCTTCTCCTTACTCGGCCTCCTCCTCCTCCTCCTCTTTGTGTCTTTCCCACACGGATTCTTTCTCTTTCCTCTGACTGGACAATACTGTAAATCTGACTCTCTTTGTCAAACTCTGACCTCCTGTGGTCACCCAGGAAGCTGACTGCTAGGCCTCAGGTCAAGGGGCCATGAGAGGGGGACCAGGTGATATAAGAATTGCTCCCCCCACAGATTAGTTACCCAGGGACATGGATGCAGTGGCCGAATGCTGGCTACAGAAGCAGAATGTGCTGCGTGGAGGCGTGGAGGGGGCGGGAGAGTTTGGTTGCTGAGGATTTGAAATGAACCATGAACCAAAGCTAGAATGAAACGCATGATATTGTCTAACCTAGAATCAACACCCTAAATTATTTTTACTGATTCATGAATGCACATGCGAATTATTTTCTTTTACCACAAATGTCTTACATACCAGAATCACAGCTCCAAGCAGTACTTTTGAATGGAACTACAATAAAGTATGAACGTTAGAATTTTACCAGAAATGGACTGGTCTTTAATGTGGTTTGAATCCAGGCTTAGGTAACCCAGAATGGCTACTAGCCAAGTCCCATCCTCACCGTATAGAGACTAACTCTAGGAAACCCTGGGTTCCTCCCACCCCTTGGGAGCTACAGTGGGTTTGGGGCCTTGAGAGAGGCAGAGGCTCAAGTTAGACTGACCAAGGAGGTAATGAGTCCCCCATCACTGGAAGTATTCAAGAATAACTATCAGCCAGGCAGGCCAGAGAACTGGATACAACACTAGAGTAGGGAACCTCTCAGGTCCATCACAACGCCAGTTTTCTGGACTTCCAGTCTCGTCTACACGAAGTTCAGCTGCACTGGGTTGCACGATCCCCCATTACCACCCCTCTTCCCACACATTGAGACAGCTGAGGATTCACACTGAGTCAGCCATTCAGGGTAGGTCCTGAGTGATTAATTCCTGTGTGTGACTCTCTCCCTTCTCTATTCTCCTCTGATCCATGCCCAGCTCAGCCCTGCCCAGGAGGAAAGGGCAGAACAACAACACAGGCAGCATCAGGAGCAGTCTGGGGACAGTGTCTCCTGCAGCATCCACATGCCACCTCTGGCCTTGTTCCCAGGTTGCCATGCTGAGCCCAGGCGGCCCCAGGCACACCTTCCTTTGAGGAGCCTTGGCAGCTGGCACAGACCTTCTGGTTGAAGGAGTTGTCCAGGTCCTTCCATTCTACAAATTGGGCAGGAGCAATGGAAGAGACACCCACCACAGACATTTTACCACGGGACATGGCTCTTGGAGTGCTGCCATCTCAGAGGCATTGGCAGACCAGTATGGATGGGAGGGCAGCAAGGTGGGCACATCAGGTGGGGCAGGCACTTCCTAGTTACCCTTCAGCCTGTGGCTGTCAGGGCCTGTTGCAACATCTGATCACCAACAGCCAGGGCTGAGTGCCCGGGCTAGGGCCAATCAGGAAAGGTACGGGTCAGCCTGTGGTTTAGAAAGACAAACACATTATCCCTTCCCTGTGTCTTTCTGCTTCGTAACTTGAAAAGCTTCCTGGGTGTGAGGAAGGAGACTAACATGCTCTTTTACTCCTTCCAGGGTGCCTTCCTCTGGGCAACTCCACTCTCCTCTAATAACAGAAATAATCATGCCTGCCAATGATGGAGTGCTTCCTGTGGGCCAGGCCCCACACATAGCTGTGCTGCCTCAGTCAGTCTTCACCACAACCCTGGGATGGAAGTCCTATACTATTACTATTCGCATTTAACAAATGAGGAGCCGGGCGCGGTGGCTCAAGCCTGTAATCCCAGCACTTTGGGAGGCCGAGGCGGGTGGATCACCAGGTCAAGAGATCGAGACCATCCTGGTCAACATGGTGAAACCCCATCTCTACTAAAAATACAAAAAATTAGCTGGGCATGGTGGCGCGTGCCTGTAATCCCAGCTACTCAGGAGGCTGAGGCAGGAGAATTGCCTGAACCCAGGAGGCGAAGGTTGCGGTGAGCGGAGATCGCGCCATTGCACTTCAGCCTGGGTAACAAGAGCGAAACTCCGTCTCAAAAAAACAAAAAACAAAAAACAAAACAAAACAAAACAAAAAAACAAATGAGGAAACTGAGGCTCGGAGTGGTTAAAGAACAGCTCAAGGTCTCCTAATTCGTGCTATAGACAATGTTTGTGTCTCCCCAGGATTCATCTGTTGAAACCTAATCACCAATATGAGGGTATTAGGAGGTAGGGTTGTTGGCAGTTGATTAAGTCACAAAAGCAGAGCCCTCATGAATGGGGTCCATGGCTTTATGAAAGAGGCCCCCAGAGAGATCCCTGGCCCTTTCCATCTTCGAGCTTATAGCAAAAAGCCACCTCTGAAGCTGGAAGCAGGCCCTCACCAGACACCAGATCTGCCAGCACCTTGCTCTTGGGTTTCTCAGCTTCTAGAACTGTGAGAAATAAATTTCTTTCTTTCTTTTTTTTTTTTTTTGAGACGGAGTTTCGCTCCTGTTACCCAGGCTGGAGTGCAATGGCGTGGTCTCGGCTCACCGCAACCTCCGCCTCCTGGGTTCAAGCAATTCTCCTGCCTCGGCCTCCTGAGTAGCTGGGATTACAGGCAAGCGCCACCATGTCCAGCTAATTTTTTGTATTTTTAGTAGAGACGGGGTTTCACCATGTTGACCAGGATGGTCTTGATCTCTCGACCTCGTGATCCACCCGCCTCGGCCTCCCAAAGTGCTGGGATTACAGGCTTGAGCCACCGCGCCCGGCAAATTTCTGTTGTTTATAAGCCACGAGTCCATAGTATTTTGTTATCCAGTCCAGACAAAGCCAGTTACCGAATGGAAGGGCTGGAATTTGAACCGAGGTGTATCTGACCCTAAAGCTGGTTCTCTCAACTCTGTGCTGCTCAGAGATCTCTGGTTCCGTGGAATGTCTGAACGGGCAGTGGGGGGAGACTAACTCAGACCTTAATAGAAGGCATTTGCATTTAAAAGAATCACTGCCCAGGAAAGCTGTCACATGAGACACAAAGGGCTTGGTGTGGGGGTAGGGGGACTGTCCCTCCCCTGTTTCTGAGTAGCACATGAGGATCCCCAGTTGGCACTGGGTGTGAGGGGCAGAGGGGTCCTCGAGTTCCCCCACTCTGTCACTTCGTTCCCTGCTAGGAATCGGGTGCTAGGCTTCCCTGGCCAGAAGCTGGCACCTGCCTGAAGTCCCTGCCTCCCACATCTGCCCTTCACAGACCCAGAGTGGGCTCAGCTTCCTCAGGTCCTCAGGCAGGACCTGCTGGGAAGTGGGGCATGTGTGCTGGATGCTTGACAGGAGGAGCCCTGTGGAGCTTGGGCTCCCAGAGGGTCGCCGCCTGCTCACCCTGGAGGCCTGGGAGAGAGGCACTCTTTGGAGAAAATCCCTTCCTCCCCTTCTCCTACAGGCTGCCCAGCACCTGCTTCTTCCTGCTCCTCACCCCGATGGGACCGCCCATCTCTCTCTGCTGATGGGGCCAAGAGGGAGGTGCAAACCTCCCAACCTCCGAGTGCCTGGAAGTGGGAGCCAAGGGAGCTGACCCTGCCAGGCCCTTGGGGTACCCAGGCAGAAGGGAAGTTGACGCAGTCTAGCTGCAGAGTCATGGGGTCCTGCGGATGGGAGCTCTCTTGCCTCTCTAGACTTACAGCATGTCTCCAGCCTCAGTTTCCTGATGCGTGTAATGGAAAGAGTGCCTCCCTCCCTCAGAAAGGTGGTAGAATGATGGGGTCTAGAGCACTGGGGTACAGGGCTATGGAGTAGCAGCACCCCCAAATGGGGCAATAGGTTCTTAACCCTCAGCCGTCACAGCTACAGAGGGGACCAAGGAGAAAGCTCCCCTCCCTGCCCCTGGGTGTGCACACTGCAGCTTGGTTTGATGTGCCATAAAGTAGAATCCAAAGATTTGTCCAGAAGACAAGGCTACC